ATACATATTGACAATCGCGATGCTAGATTGATTTTCTTTTCTTTACGTCACGTTTACAATTTTGCATATTTTGAAATAAATTTAAAATATTGATGTACGACAGTGTCATACATATTGACAATCGCGATGCTAGATTGTTTTTTTTCTTTACGTCACGTTTACAATTTTGCATATTTTGAAATAAATTTAAAATATTGATGTACGACAGCAGGGCGCAGTCGCGCAGAGGCGCATTTTCTCTTTTCAACTCTAGGATAAGTATTACTGGTTAACAAATTGTTCATCAGTTGCCTTTTTTTATTTCCATTTTCTTCGGTTTTGTTTTCATAAATCCAACAATATTTACACAGATGCGCGAACAAACGAATAGAGTTTCAAGGGTGCTATTTATCGCAATCTTCATAGCATTGTTGGAGTCGAAAAGGAACAAGTGAATGTGTGTATTCCATAGCATATTGGCCATTTGGAATATATAGTATTCCGTTTGGAGTTTCAATTTATTTCAGTTGTCGCGAGCTCAAGGGTGTATCTATATTGATATTTAGTTTTGTCATTCTTATGGAAATACGGTCGAACCCTAGTTGGCCATTGCGAACACCTCTAACTCGGCCAGGGTGCAAGTTTGGGACGTGCTGATTGCACGGAAGCCATCGCCGAATGTGTCGATGTACGCCTGCGAAAACTGAGTTGTGCAAACTCGACCCTGTACTAATATGTCATTGTCCCATTTGAAGTGAGAGTCTAGCGCACAAGTTTTATACCACTCTCATTGGCTGCCACTGGTAAATAATATATTAACAGATTCATCCCAACGGACCGTGTAATAAAGCACCAATTTGAATTTGTCGAATTCAAATTTCATAGGCGAGCTGACTCCGTCTTTCTCGAAAGTGAAGATCGCTACTTAACTTGAGGACTCCATATCAGCTGTTGCCCAAGAAGAACAGAAACCGCCGAAAGTGCAACCGGAGTTGTCTTTCATCACCACAACTGTGGGACCAGCCTCACTGCATTTCGCGCTAAATTGGCTGATGCCCCATCCATCCCGTGTTGCCTGATATATTGGTGTGGTGCCTTCTCTGTAACTCGCGCAATTGTCGCAGTGTTCGCGGTGGCGACCTCAAGAGCCTGCCTGAGTACTGTACCCATAGTACAATTTGATTTTGTTTCTGATGTGGGATTAGCACAATCAATCATAATTCCCGGTTCGATTGGCGATAATCTACGTAGGGAGTGAGATTTCATAACTCCTTCAACTTATTCTTATAGTGGAATCTGGATAGCGAGACAATTACAAAAGTATTGTTTGTTTAGTATAGGGAAGATTGGACACTCCACACGTCTGCAATACCTGGAAGAAATCTAAATAAAGGTGTGTGGAAAAAGTTGGACTACACGAAACGATTCTTCAGGTATCGATACACTTCAGCTCGGACCAATGATTATGCTCGGAATCAACATGCACAATCCACATAACATGATTTCCATATAATATGTCTATCATTTCAATCAGTTTCGATACATAAAAGGTACAATGAATTTCCCATATCGTATTACCCTTTGTTCATGCGAATAGTGCCAATGAAATAGGTCGCAACCGTTCCAATCACAAGATACACATTCCGAAAGTAGCTATGTCCCGATCCATCATCAACGAAATTGTGACACAAACAGTCGTTGTATTGCAAGCGTGAACACCGAGATAACCAAACATACGACAATGACATGTTCAGCTTTTTAGCAAAATCTAGTGTTCTTCGACCCCTCGCGATCTGTCGTCTTTTTGAACGGACAGTATCATGACGTCTATCGGACTTCTGACTGTATTTAAAAATATAATAAAAAGACATAACGCCCGGACATACCCTACAAACCCCAAACCAACAAAATATGTAAATAAATCATAGCCCTCTAAATTACATTTAAAAATACATGTATAAAAGTACATATTTTATCGATTATTATATTTAATAAAAACAAATAAAAAAACAAACAAAAATAAAACAAATACAAAAAAAGCTTTTAATTTATTATTATTTGTGCTTATTTCTGAAATCATTGATTTGTTTTTACAATAGTGTTCTGGCGGCTAAAAGGGTGTAGCTTTGCAACAGCGCTGCCACTAGTATAACCATGTCTATAGAATTTGTTTTTACAATCGTGTTCTGGCGGCTAAAGGGGTGTATCTTTGCAACAGTGCTGCCACTAGTATAACCATGTCTATAGAATGGCCATGGTATGTAAATAGTTCTAGACATATTTCTTTTTGCAGCAATGAGAAGTGCCGCACTTGATAGAAGCGTAGTCACCACATTTGTTGGAGTACCGGCAGCATGCAGTGTCGTGCTTATACCCCATACTACACTTGTGAGACGTGATATCACCACACTTGTAATAATTGTTTGTCGGATCAATTGGGCCCATACGCTCACAACAGGTAGAACTGCTGCACTTGAGTACTCCAGGTTTACAGTCGCCATTGCTAGCACAACACTCTTGCTTGTCAATCAGCTTAAAACCAGGATCGCATTTGGTGTTAGTTTCTTTGCATTTCTTGGGTTCATCGTACTTCTTCTTTTCGCAACAGTTGCTGCTATTGCAAGTCTTCACCCCTGGGGCACAACTCTTCTTCTTTCCGCAGCACTTCTGGCCTCCATTCAGTTCGAATCCATCCTTACAGGACACAGTAGACTCCTTACATTTCTTGGGCTCATCATACTTCTTCTTTTCACAACAGTTGCTGGCATTGCAAGTCTTCACCCCTGGCGCACAACTTTTCTGCTTTCCACAGCACTCCTGACCCCCATTCAGTTCGAAATCATCCTTACAGGACACAGTAGACTCCTTACATTTCTTGGGCTCATCATACTTCTTCTTCTCACAACAGTTGCTGGCATTGCAAGTCTTCACCCCTGGGGCACAGCTCTTCTCCTTTCCGCAGCACTTCTGGCCTCCATTCAGTTCGAATCCATCCTTACAGGACACAGTAGACTCCTTACATTTCTTGGGCTCATCATACTTCTTCTTTTCACAGCAGTTGCTGGCATTGCAAGTCTTCACCCCTGGCGCACAGCTTTTCTGTTTTCCACAGCACTCATCACCTTCATTTAGTTCGAAACCAGCCGTGCACTTCACATTACTCTGCTTACAAGTCTTAGGCTTGTCATGTTTTTTGTCCTCACAACAAGTATGGACATTGCACTCAGGAACCCAGTCTTGGCAGTAGTCATTCTTAGCGCAGCAATTTTCCTGCGGAATAAGCTCTTGTTGGCCACTACAACCCACGTGTGAATCCTTGCACTTGATAGGACTATTGTACTTTGCCTGGGTGTTGTAATTGCTACCATATACTCCTGTATTGTGCACTGCGAGACATGCGATGCCCAATAGCAGAATTCGGTTGATAGCTGGCATATTGATGATTGTTATCGACAGTAGTTGTTGAATATCGTGAATTATGTTTTTGCTACTGTTATAGTTTTAGTTTAAATACTCAAAATAGAGCATGTGGTGTCATGTGGCGCTGTGAAATGTTTCAAGATCTTCTACAGGGTCGGCGTCTCTAGGAATACTCCACCAGTTGGCAGCTTTAGCTATAATATACGAATTTATGCAGGAGGTTTATGTAACATGCATAAAATAGGGCAAACGACTAAGCGATCTATCTGCTCTCGTTCGGTGTATTGGTTTTTGACGTAAATAACAGTTTTAGAATAAATACATACCCGCCTTGTGTATTCTCTGAAGTAAATAAAAATATTTTTTGTGCTGCAAAGTCTGGTTATTTTATTTTTACAAGATGTATAAATGTAAAAAAATTCTAAAGCTCTGCACAGCACAGAGCTCCTCGACTCCAAATTGGATCTATTTATTCTCCATTCTTAATTGTTTCATTCCTGAGTATTCATTCGCTCCTCCCTGGAATCCTTATTGCTGTACATAAAACAGTGTCCAATAAAACGGTTTTTAAGATAAACGATCATTGCCTTTTAAATGCTTTTTGAAACAAAACGATCTATTTTGTATTTAGAATTCTCAATGATTATTAAAGAGTAATAGAGACATTCAGACTTCGAAAGTTCATGACTTCAGAACTAACCGCAAACCGCTTTCCGCTAAAACTTTCAAAAATCGAATAAATATACGTTTACGATCAATTTTTATTCCATAAAGGTGCACCTTGCAGGTCTAAACATTTAAGTGTGTACCGATTTTACCATACGAACCAGTCCAGTAAAAAGAACTTAGGTAGGCTCTTCTTTAAACCTGATAACCGTTACAACGTTTTAAAATTGAACATGTATACGTTTAAGTTTATCTTCTATCCTGTACTCTCGTATCGTAATGAGCATAGCTTCAGAAGTTCAAGACCAAGTAGTTCAAGTTCTGAAGTTCAACAGACACTTCAACAACTTTGAACTTTCACACATGGCGCACAACAAGAAGTCTTCATTTTTGAATGTTTCAGAGACCAGAGTACAGCAGACTTCAACATTACGAAGTAAATACATATATGGATTTATATGTATTTATATACCTCTATTACGATATGGGGGTCGTAAACGAATATTTAATCATTTCCTAAGTTGTATATATAGGATTGGTTCGAATGTTGAAAACAGTACATACTTCAATTTTTAAACCCGAAAACTGCAACTAGTATCATAGAGGAGACTGTCTCTGGAATAAATCGAACGTAAACGTTTTATTTATTCGATTTATAAAAGTTTAAAAGTGGAAAACGGTTTGAGGCTAGAGCACTGTATTTTTATTAGTCTTTTTTCTGTTTTGATAAAGGAAATATCAACAAAAACAAAAACAACTAAAACTTTGGATCGCACTGAGACTTTGAGTTTGCAGTAAATATTGGTTTTGTTAAAAAAATAAATTTATGTATTGTTTC